TTTAGTGAAAAAAAATATATATTTTAGGTGTCTTTTATATCACTGTTGCATTATTGATGGTGTATGTGAATAACAAGAATGATGCCTCAATGTGACAGGATGCTGAAATATAAGAAAACCATCAGATGTATTAACAAGAGGCAGTAAGGAAGGAATAAGTTTCATACACTTTTACTCATCTCAATTCCACATATTACTGTAATGTAAAAGCAACAACAAAACAACCTTCTCTACAAAGTATCCATGAAATATTTTTGAAGCCACAACTTTCTGAAGGGCTGAAGAGACTGAAAATGGTAAGAAACTAAACGCTAAATTTGGTTTCACTGTAGTCGGCAACATTCCAACTACAACATGTTCAGAAAGAGACCTTCCGGCTTGTAGCAGGGTGCCTCAACCAGCTACGTGGGTAATACCGAGATATGGAGAGAAAATAAAATGACAACTTACTGGGGTTATAGTTAGGTGAGGGTGATGCCTCATCCAGAGAGTATCCATCAAAGTCATTGTTCCTTGCAGGAGTATTAGTAATGCTTGGATCCCAGGCTCCTGACTGTCCTGGTGTACGTGAGCCATCATGCGATGGCGTCATGCTCCCATAATGCGGTGTTCGCGATCCAGCTGTAATAATACATAAAGTTTGCATTTCATGGAAAACATTTAGAATTTTTAATTTTTCTACAAAAACTGCTATATTTTCATGCTACAAATTGTTGAAGTATTTTCTCTGGACACTGTCCAATGTCTATGTTCTAAAATGTAAAATTTAATTTAAATTTTAAAACAAACAATGCACGATATTCAACCCTAACAATGATTCTTCACCACTGCTACGGAAGTCTGATATCTGGTAATAAATTGCTGTTTTCCTTTATACAGAACATGTTTTTCATCTGTTGTAAGAACAGTGCATGGCCAATATTAATAACAGCAACATTTTCACAATTCTTTTAAGTTAAAAGTGACTGAATATTCCCATGGTAAATGCAATTGAGCAACCAGAAGGAAGTTCAATGCCAATGAAAGTCAAGGGCTACCAAAAAAAAAGAGAAACCTCGTGAAAACCCATATTCTGCAGATGGTCAATCCGCAATCCAAATATGGAAAACTTTCTGTCGTCAAACAAGCTTAACCAATTGCAGATGTGGACAGGAAAGCATTGATGTAATGTTTCATAATTCATGCAATTACCAGTAGTGTTGAAATTCCATGAACTAAATTTAAGCAAAGCATGAATCAGAATTGTCACCACAATAACTTTGTGTCATGCCTACAGCATAACATGCAAGTTCATACACCATTATGTGCTTCTTAAAAACCATGAGTTCAGATGAAATAATACTGACACATATGTAAATGGCAGGCACTGTTTTCCTCAGTGAGAATTTACAGTAATGGTGAAAAAGCATCTCATCAGGCTTCTTCCAACATGTTCACTTGGAATTATTTTATATTTGTTGGTACTGTTTCACTGTGTAAACATTCAATATTTGTAGGATTTGAGGTTCTCACGGAAGTAGTTACAAAAATTTCAATCTTCTGGGCCTACACGGTGCTATATGCCAGAACATGGCAATTTTCATTCCACATTTGTCGGACCAATTTAGTGCATGTGCCTTAAATACTGTGAAATATTTAACTAAGCTGATTTTGTTGAATATGAGGTTCTCACAAAGGTGCACAAAATGATTTGTTTATAGCCTAAAGGGTGTAACACAATTCCACGCACAACATTGATAATTTATTGTGAGTGAGGAATGCAACTGGTTTCATTAAGTTGGGTTACGCTTTCAGAATTTGTTCAGCAATTCAACATGAAAGACATCTGCAAAATATTGTCATTTCCTGTTATCCTCTCATCAGAAAGCCTAGATTAAACAATGCAATTCTGTTCATAATCATGCCATAAAGGTCTTGCAGATCCACTGGCATGGGAGGAACATACATTTTTTTGCCATTTACAAATTTCATGGGCAAGAATCAAACAGTATAAGATTCGGTGACCTAGATGGCTGACCTGATGTGTTATCTATTTCTCCTGAATAAGTGACATGCTTTTACCATTATTTGTTCAGTCATAATAAATTGTCAAAAATTGTATACTAAATTATGTCACAAACTTTTCAACATCAAATGGATCTTAAGTCTTGTTCTGTAACTTCACTTACCATCATACATGGGAGTCTGTGAACCATGCATTGGTGTCTTGCTACCCTCCCTGTACATTGGTGTTTGATTTCCACCGCCATATGCTGGAGTGCGACTGTACGAGCTGAAGGAGCCTTCCTGAAGACAGGAGCACACAATATACCACTTCAGATACCTCAGTCAATTATGGTACATATTTCTTTACATCAGAGGATATTAACCCTTTCACTGCTAGTATGTTAAGTAACTCTCAGTACCCTCTGTGCTGAATTATTTTTGAATAAATCTGTTATAAATAATTTAAGTGCATAAGTATGAAAATTTGTGATAAAAAGTAACTAATCTTACCTCAGACAGGAAAGAGGCAGCAGAAGTTGCAAAAATGTTGAATTATTCAGTATTTTTCACAGGGTAAAAGTCCATTTAAGTCAGAGTTGTCCAAGATGGCCAAAAAAGTACATAATTCACTATCCTAGACTTATCACTATGTCACATGTTGACCAAAGTCCACAACTTTAATAAAAACTATTACAGAAAGCACCGCACACTATACGAAGCCAATTTTACTAGCCCTGTGAAATACCTGCATCACATGACCATGGTGCGCGTGCCTCGCTATGCAGATGCAAACTTTTACATTTCTTAAGTTCGAGGGCAGAAGAATGCAGCCATTGAAATGAATGATGCTTCATTATGTTCCCAATAGATGACTCTATGCATCCACCAAGTTTCAATGAGATTGGTGCTAAGAAACCTAAGATATGAAACTCTATAGCCGCAATACAGGTTTGTTGATTGCAGGAAAGACGCCATGTTTTTCAGAGATCGACATGTGTCGACCGCAGCAGTGTAAGGGTTAAATATGGCAGACTGTTGATAATATACATGCCAAATATGCACCTTGTGGATTAACCATAGAATTTCTTTGACCTCCTTAGTTATTGACTAAAGCTTCTACAATGACTAAGTGTTGCCCATTACATATGTTTCAGTAATACGTATCAGCGAGGCTTTACAATGGTTCACCAAACATTGCAAACTTCTCGCTCTATTACTACTTTATTATTTTATTGCTTTTCATACTGGCCTACTAACACTGAATAAGGGTTGCTCCCTTTTACTGGAGAGATCTTTGTCTCACTCTTTAGTAAGACAGCGTGACCAACAGTATTAAGTTGGTGACTTTCAGGGTTGAACGCAACATGGATAGTGAATATTTAGAGGGCTTCAGAATATTAATTTTTTTTAAATATCCATGCTACTTCCCCTCCCATTATACAAATAACTGGTAGTCCAATGTAGGTTCTAAACATAACTGTACCACCTCACTATAGAAAGTGTGTTTTAAGAGGTTCATTGATGTAATATTTTATTAAATATTTATTTTGGAAGAATAAGAACCACTAATATTAATTTAATAGACATGGATATGCTGGAATTATAGGTACAAAGGATTCCACAAAGAACTATCTTCATACCAACTTCTCTTGGGAATAAAGCATTTTAAACATTGAATTGAGGACAGCCTTAAATGGAGGATCTTATAGAGATAACCAGAACCAAAGAAAATGAACCCTGAATTGAGAAATATTAAATGGGGTTTCTAGTCATTAGGTTCATTCAACACAGTCTGTAGAATGATAATTCAAAGAGCCCTAGCCCTCCTAGCACAGTAAAACCCAATTTAAAGTCTACGAACATCCCCTTGCCCCCCAAAACTGGCCAAATAGAACTTTAAAGTTTAAACAGAACATGAAGTGTTCATGTACTAATATTTAACTGTTTTGAAGACAGAACCTGTTTAAAATAAAATATGGGTGAAATGAACACCAATCTGAAGTTAAATATATACAATATTACTTTGGATAAAAGATGACCTTGAATTTAAGCCATCCAGTTTATGAATGTACGATTTAGGAAAAATTTAGAAAGGTGCATATTCCTTGAATTTAAGATGCACCTCAGTTCTTCGAAAGGAAAAAATGCGTAAAAGGTACATTATATTCAAAGTAATACTATATTCTGTCCTAAAAAATTATTAAGTATTAGGTACGATGGGGTACCCAAAAGAAACCGAACTAATTTTTTTGTGGGCAGAGCTTTTGTAGTACTGAGTTTTGCAGCTATGAGCGCATAGAGCTAACACTCCTGAGTCGATAAGCTGACTACCGTTGCTTCAGAAGGTAAGGACTAGTTTCGGCAGAGTTTATAGTGACAACTGTTTTGTGTGATCGTCGTTTTTGCAATGGCTGATTTTCGTGAACAGCGTGCGGCGGTGAAATTCTGCTTTTTGCTCGGGAAAAGTGGAACAGAAACTCTTGAAATGTTAAAAACGGCGTACAAGGACGATGCTATGGGGAAAACTCAAGTGTTTGAGTGGTTTTCCCGTTTCAAAAATGGTGAAATGTCAATTGATGACAAACCTCGTTCTGGTCGTCCTTCCACGGCCCGAACACATGAAAATGTTGAAAAAATTCGTGAAATCATCAAGGAAGATCGACGACGGACCATTGAAGAAATTGTGGAGCTGTCGGGAGTGACTTGGAGCTCAGCGGCCAGATTTGTGGCAGTCGGGTGACTGGTTTTTCCATCATGACAATGCCCCTGCTCACACAGCCCTGTCTGTACGACAATTCTTGACCAAAAATGGTATGACCCCTGTTCCTCACCCTCCATACTCACCCGACCTTGCCCCGTGCAACTTTTTTTTGTTTCCTCGAATGAAAAGAGACATGAAAGGAAAGCGTTTTGCTGATGTTGCTGAGGTGAAGGAAAAAACGACGGAGGCACTGTCAAGCATCTCAAAAGATGAATTTAGACAATGTTTTGAAAAATGGAATAAAAGACTAGACAAGTGTATTAGTGTAAGCGGAGAGTACTTTGAAGGGGATTGAAGGTTTGTGCTTAAAATTTGAATAAATAAGTTTAAAAAAAAATAAGTTCAGTTTCCTTTGGGTACTCCCTCGTATATCCTTCAAATGGAAAATTGTCTAAATCGTAAATTTTACTTTGGACTCTCCAAGTTTTACTTCAGAAAAATCACATCAAAAAAATGTCTACCTCAAGGTTGGAATGGGCAGTTACATAGAGTGAAGACAGCAATTCATGTTCAAAACACCTATGACTGAAACCAATATTCTAAGTGCCTGGCTACACCAACCAAACTCGAACTACACTGAAAATTCCATTTAAGGTTTCTCTAGGGAGCAGGGATTTGAACACTGATCTCAGAAAAATTTTAAATGAGAAAATTTAGCCCTGAAATTCTTGATATGGGATCAATGAAACTGAATATTAAATGAAAGAACCTTATATCAAGAATATTAAATACCTGTTCCACTGGATCCTGGCACCAAACCAGTCAATTTAATCAGCCTTTATACATTATGTTTCAGTCAGTTACATGTGGGATCAGACATTCAGCTTTGCTGTATTGTGCTGCACCAAGTGTAGCAAACAGTCACATGAGATCGGATGGCATCGTAATTTTTTTATATTTATGCCACTCACTTCAGGCTGACATTGTTGAACTAATCTCAATCTTCTGCATTTTTTTTTTTCAAATTCGCTTGGCGGGGAGTGGAGTCCAGCTGGGTCCACTTGGCACAGCGGCCTCCGATTGGCCTATTGTTGCCTGCCCCAGGCGATTATGATGATGGAGAATTTGGTGGAATGAAGATTGACAGGGGAAATCGAAGTACTTGGAGAAAACCCGCCCCAGCACCACTTTGTCCACCACAAATCCCACTTGACCAGACCCGGGATCGAACCTGGGCCGCCACGGTGGGAAGTGAGCAACTAACCGCTTGAGCTATTGTGCTGCCTTAATCTTCTGCATTAGTCAGTGCACTAGTTAAAAACTACATACAGCAAACATAAAATCAAAATTTATTCTATACTGGGTCACATACATTTTGAATGCATTCTGTTGATTTCCTTTCAAACCACCTCTAATACATATATAAATATATACACAATTTATACACTTTACCTTTGTAGGTACCCCAACAGTCGCAATGTGTGATCGATCCACAGATATTGTCTGGCAGGTAGAATGCAATTCAACTCGAGCTGTTGATTCAGTTGCATCTTTCACAATACCAACATTCCCTGCAAAAGTTCAATAAGAAGTTAGATAACATTTTTCCTCTATATTGTTAACAGCCATAATTATCCCACAACACCAACAGACTATGATCTGTGTGTCAGTGAGAACAAGAATGTATGCAATCATGATGATGTAATAATGGAGCCAATGAGTAAAGAAAAAGTAACTAAACAAACAAACAAACCTTCTAAATATTTCTTGCATGTGATTTTTTAATTTAATTGTGGTTATTAATTAATGAAATAATTGCATAAATGAAGCAAGGGATATTCAGAACTACAACATAAAATACATATATGTTATGCTGGTTTCTGCATGTATCCATTTTGTTAATATATGGCGACTTGAAGCTACTTTCCAACTGCCTAGCAATGAGTCACATTATGTTCAACTGTAATGGAAATATAAATTGCAGCTATACTGCTCCAGTGTTCATATCAGAAGGCACTTAAAGCAGTTTTCCAGTGTGTCACCTACCAGTATACTCATACATTCAACAACTCCATACATACTCTCTACTTGAATTTAGAGATTTCATGAAGTGTGTTAAGCTATGCACATACATTCTGAACAAGTGGTATATAGCACAGGTCAAATACTATGTAAATATAGTATATACAAAAAAGGAACATGTTCATTTCTTCATAAAAATCAAATTTAACATAATTCATACATAATTCCATACATGATGACTCTCTACTTGAATTTAGAGATTTCATGAAGTGTGTTAAGCTATGCACATACATTCTGAACAAGTGGTATATAGCACAGGTCAAATACTATGTAAATATAGTATATACAAAAAAGGAACATGTTCATTTCTTCATAAAAATCAAATTTAACATAATTCATCCTTCCTCCAAGATACTATGTATTCAGGAGCATACTAGTTAGTTTACCCTGTTTTTCATGTGGTGATAATTATGCGCAATAAAGGTATAGTCCATTTCATCAGCAAGCATTTCAATGAAGTTGTATATAAGCATCTACATGATCACTTCATAATGAATAATGACCAAAGGTGCATACCCAGCATCATTCAATTGGAGTACAGTTAGACAGCATATCAGCTATTTGTAGACTTCAAGAAAGTCTATGATTCAGTAAGGAGGGAAGTATTGTAAAATGTTCTCACAGAGTTTGGGGTATCCATGAAACTAGTTAGGCTGATTAAAATGTGTTTAAACGAAATGTATATGTATAGGTAAACATTTGTCTGATAATTTTCCTATCCAGAATAGTCTAAAAGAAGGAGATGCTTTATCGCCACTACTTTTCAGCTTTGCTTTAGAATATGTCATTAGGAAGCCCCAGGAAAACCAGGTGGGGCTGAAATTAAATGGGACACATCACCTGCTGGTCTATGTTGATGATGTGAATCTACTAGGAGAAAACATAGATATCATAAAGAAAACCCCAGAAACTTTAGTTGACGCTAGTAAGGAGGTTGGACTAGAAGTAAACACAGAGAAAACTAAGTATATGTTGCAGTCTCATCACCACAATGCAGGGCAAAATCATGACATAAAGACAGCTAACAGATGTTTTGAAAATGTGGCAGATATTTGGGAACTATAACAAATCAAAACCCGATTCAGGAGGAAATTAAGAGGAGACTGAACTCGGGTAATGCTTGCTACCATTCAGTCCAGAACCTTTTGTCTTCTTGTCTGCTGCCTAAAGACATATTAGAATATACAAAACTATAATTTTTCTGTGGTTCCCTATGGGTGTGAAACTTGGTCTCCGACATTAAGGGAGGAACATAGACTGCGGGTGTTTGAGAAGAGGGTGTTGAGAATATTTGGACTGAAAAGGGATAAAGTGACAGTAGGCTGGAAAAAACTGCATAATGAGGAGCTTCGAACTTGTACTATTTGCCCAAGTATAATTAGGATGAAATCAAGGAGGATAAGATAGGCAGGACATTTTTGCACAAATGGGGGTTAAGAGGAATGGTGGGAAAGTCAGAAGGAAAGAAACCACTAGGAAGACCATGATGTAGGTGAGTGGATAATATTAAAATTTACCTTAGAAAGATCGAATGGGATGATATGGATTTGTCTGATCTGGCTCAGGATAGGAAGCAGTGGAGGGATCTTGTTAACAGTGATAAACCTGTGAGTTCCATAAAATCATGAGAAGTTCTTGAGTATCTGCACAATTGGCTGCTTCTTAAGATGGACTCAGCTCCATGAGTGGGTGAGTGATGAAAAGTGCAACCAATACAGCAGGTTTCTTGTACATACTCACAAGTAATTCTCATCATAATAAAAAATATGCATAAAGAACCTGAAGAGTCTTTTTAGGAATTAAAGTGCACCCAATAATTCATCAGTAAGGCACTTCTAATGACTCAGCTATCACAACATGCACAGCTTCCTACTGAAAGATGGAACATTTTAGCGCCAACATATATTACAGACAATATTTCAAAATACGAACTGTAATGCATACAATAATGCACAACTGTAGTTACCTTTGTAAAAACCACCTGTGATTTTGATAGTCTGACCAATTAATTCTCTGTCACGTCTAACACCTGCACCACCACGACCACGGCCTCGACCTCCACCACCTCCACCACGTCCTGCTCCAGAGGGATGTAGGGGAGAAGTAATACGAGGAGACATAAATCCTCCAAAGGTACCTCCACCTGGTGACATGGCAACCTTCAAAAATACAAATGTAGTTATTACAGGGGTCCAACAAATGTACACACTAAATTAAATTAACATCTCAGAATTTACAGCCTTCAAATAATGACCGTCTAAACTTATTTTCACTTAAACTTTGCTCTGAAACTTTTTGATTATACCAAATATAATGTCCAAACAAATTAATCTTATTTCTCAGAAGGGGATATAGGAGAAACAAAAAATTAAACAAGTTTCATGTGCATATAATATCTAACACAGGATACAGTTATGAGCTTCATAAAATCATGCAAGTGACAAGCAAGTGTAACACATAATTAAGAATATAAAACATATGTGACAAATTTACATGTGCAAAGCAAAATCAGCATGCAACGATAGTGCATGATCGCTTATCTTACTTGTGGAATTTTACAAACATTCTGTGTGTGCGCATGTGTGAGGAGGGACAGACAGACAGACAGTTGTGGGAGAGTGCACGTATATGCGAGTGTGTGTGTTCACACGTGAGGAAATATAACAATGAAATTACCAACTTGAGATCACTGACATCAGACATTAAATGAGGGTTTCGCTGTGTACATGTGTATCATTTTTGTAAAATAATTCTCCCATTAAGACACAAAACCAACTCACTTTAGTCATACATAAGTGCACATATCCCTCTGTACATACTGTCACAATATTACAAGACTCAAAAAAGGAACAGTGAGAGCACCCTGAGAGGTGAGTGTGCTGAAGTTCGCTGTAAAGTCAAGAGTGTGCCACCTGCCAGCCTTCTGCATTAGCACTAAACAAAGAGTACCATAACAGATGGCATGTCTGTAATGCACAAGTAATAAATTCATACCATAATGTTTATCATGTTTTGGCCACTGCCTCACTGTCAGTAATCACTTAAGATCTTAATGTTGGCTTATCTAGTCAAGGACTATTTCACCACAGTCACTGCAGTGTCTTTTTTTTTGCATCTTGTATAACTCACTTGCAATTCAGAGCATACTATACATGAATGCAAAGCGGCATTAAAAAACTCCAACCTTATGGCTAAAAAAAGCTAATGTAGCATTGTGTAACATTTACTTTACTCTGCCTCAGAATCAGATATATAAGTATTTCTCTGAAAATTGTTATTCCTTCTCACTTTGTTTCTACTGATATCTACTTCACACGCCTTACCACTGAAACTTATTACACATAGCTTACAATGCTGCAGATGTTCTTTTTTTTCCCCCTTGGCACTAGAGCCCCAGTGGGCCTAGGCCTACCTCCATGAACTCCGTTCACTTCGGTTTTCGTGATCTTACACATACGGTAGGACTCCTTGGGCGAGTGATCAGATCGTCGCAAGGCCTCTACCTGTAGACAAACACAGAAAAACGCACACAAACATCCATGCCCTGAATGGGATTCGAACCCACGATCCCGGCTTCCAAGCGAGCGAAGACAGTGCATGCCTTAGACCGCTCGGCTACCGTGGCCGGCGCTGCAGATGTTTACTGACACTTATTCTTAAACTTAAGGAAATATTACTGATCAATGTTACCTACTAATGACTGTACTCACCTTAGCACCGCCAGCCAACTGAAGATGCCTGGTCTTGCACACAAATATTCCACCATTGTCAAGGTACATTCTGGAGTGTAGGAATGCAAAATTACGGTACAGATGTTTGATTTCACCTGCTCGACCCTGTAAATAGTCAATCCTTATGTTTATTCTGACTTCCACACACAGTGAAATGCCAACTTCAGGCTACTGTTAAGTGCAGCAAATCTGAACACTAAATCGAGGATACTTTTATATGGAGCTAATTTAATATAGAGACTACTAATTTTAGATCACTGAATCTGAATTTTAAATATATGAAAACTTCAAATTTAGGAACAGTAAATGCGAGTTTCACTTTACCAACAACATAAACATGATTACACAGTCAGGTCATGCACCCCAATTAAAATGTGAGATAGGTCCCAAAGCCCCACAAGTCCCTGGTTATTTGGCAAAATACTGTGAAATGATGCCTGAAAGCCAGAACAGTGGAGTCAGAGCAACAGTGCAGTTGTCCATTGCTGGACAACAAATTGGTAAACATTCCTGTAGTAGCAAGTATGCAAACAATATTAGAGATTTGTTGGGGGGAGTGTTTTCTATTGGGTACAACCTGAAGGGAATAAGGAGGACCAACATGATTAACAACACAAGGGTAATAGTTGTACGACTCCCACAGTATTGCGACAGTTAAATATGGTAATGAGTCCAGCTGGACTCAGAACCAAGAATTATTGTGCTGGCACATGCCAGAAGCAATTTACCTGACTGAGAACATCAGACTGACAGAATCACAAAATACAAATAGATACACAGTAAGCCAGCCACAAAATATAAACCATGGGTCCCATAACCAAGAATGGCTGTGCTGGTGAAGGCCAGCAGCAAAGTACTGCTCTACGCTAACAACGTAACTTCTCAGTGTGTTACACTTTCTAATTATACAGGTTCATTACACACAGGCAATTCCAAGTAGATCAGCTAGTCTAATATATCTGTTAGATTTAAATGACTTAGTATTTTTGATCAGTCCCTGTACCTCATTAGCCTCCATGTGTGGGTATACATCTACATGTCAGATAAATACTTGCAAAATTATGTTAACATACAACAGAATGGCAGTATACTGGAGGAATGATAAACAACATAATCTCTCAATTTTGTTATCATTTTGTACGCACAGATTCAACTATACCTAGAGACCATTATCATGAAAATTTAGCCATTAACAAAGTCATAATAACATACTACTATTTTAAACAGTGGTATAAATTTACAGATCGTTGTCTCATTCAGCATAAGTAAAGTAACCTTCAGACTCTCCTTGTTACAAGGACTACTGCATCACCAGAAAAGAACGAGGGACCAGTTAAAATTAAACAGGGATCAATTAAGATGGGCGGTAGGATTACTTACTGGACACTGTCACCTAAAAGGGCACCTTTTCAAACTGGGACTGATAGACGATCCAACTTGTGAAAAATGCCTTCAAGAAGATGAATCAGCCACGCACATCTCATGTGATTGTGAGGCTATAGCTTACCTAAGATATCGCCACCTGGGTCAATTCTTCATGGAACCAAGTGACTTTTATGATGCCCCCATAAATAAAGTCCTATATTTCATTCAAAGTGTAGGATTAATAAAGGGCTAATCCAAAGAGGAAGCACAATAGATCATTGAAGGTCGCAGTGCAAGGGCCGGTTTCTATGGCTCACCCCTCATACTCATAGCACCACCAGCCACACCTGAATGAAGTATAAAGAAATTAATAACATCACTGAAAATTCATTTTGGTATCTGAAAAAAAAAATACTTACTGCATGTGGCCCGTCAATGACTTTGACAATGTCCTTTTTCTGTATGGTATTCTGTTCAGAGTCTAGGGCTACAGCATATCTTGAATCCTTCCTTTTCTGAAGTGCTTGGGGTCTTGCCTCTACCACTTTGCCTTGCATATTAAGAACATGGAAGTTCTCTCGTTCGAGCCTAACAATTACACCCACAGTTTGGGGGCTGCAACAAATCATATTGACAGTTCACGTTTCCACACATCAGCACATTCACAATCACAATTTTAATCTTACGTTTACAAACTTCGTGCAAACAGAGAACACAAATGGAAGACATAGGAACAGTGAAACTTCAGTAACATGAGAATTTATAAAATCCCTATAAATACTCGTTATAATGGATACCTGCAATCCTGAAAAATGGTTCAGATACATAACTACAAATCTGCCCCATAACTTTTGATTATGTAGAATAAAATATAACTGACAGGAGGTTGGAGAAAACTGCATAATGAGGAGCTTCATAACTTGTACTCTTCTCCAAGTATGATTAGAATGATCAAGTCATGGCGGATGAGGAGGTCAGGGCATGTAGCACGAATGCGGGAGATGAGGAATGCGTACAGGATATTGGTGGGAAAGCCAGAAGGAAAGAGACCACTGGGAAGACCAAGACATAGGTGGGTGGACAATATTACAATGGATCTTAGAGAGATAGGATGCGATGGTATGGATTGGATAGATCTGGCTCAGGATAGGGAAAAGGGGATGTCTCTTGTGAACATGGTAATGAGCCTTCAGGTTCCATAAAATGCTGGAAAGTTCTTGAGTAGCTGCTGAATTGGTGGCTACTCCAGAAGGGCTCAGCTCCATGAGTAAGTAAGAATAAAATACAACACTAAGGTTTAAACAATTATGTGGATATGGCAGTAGTTCTTCTTCTTTCAAGTGGTTATCACATGGATATGAAAATAGTAAATAATATTCAGCATTTTATTGTCATTAACATTACCCGAACTGACCACTAATTAGAAGCCGACCTTTATAACCAAAACTCCTGCCCGCTATTTCCTGTATGCCCATAAGCACCTCACTCATATTCTCCTTACAAGTCTCACACACATTCTGCCCACAATCTGCTGCACATGCATACAGGTGGGAATTCACTCATGTGTATCAGACTTGCATAGTAGACATACCACATGAAGTAGTGTAAGTCACATTTTCAACAAATGCTGCAGAGAAATATGAAATGCATACATTACATTCAATATGCTTCTTCAACAAGTTCTGTGACTTTGAGATAACTGAATAAATCAGATGCTGTCTGTAAAAGTTAAGTAAAGTAAAGGTATCCCTAACAGGCCATGGAGACCCATAGGTTTGTGAGATGTTCAGGTACCCACATTTTCTAGACAATCAGCTCATAGATGGCAGTAAGGTTGTTAGCCTTACATGGCGGCCGCCCTTTACTCCCAAAAATATTCCTGGTATTCATTTCTATTAGAGCCTGAGTTGACCCCAGGGCCACAGTGCGGCTGGAAGGATTAGGTAAATTGAAAAAATCCACCTCATAAGGATTCGATCCAGCTTGTAGCATAGTGTCTCTTCCAAATATGCTACTGTGTGCCCCCAATGATATCTGTACATTTCTGAATTTGTACATTCAACAATCACCATAGACCCCTGACCACACCTGAAACTTGTATCATCCATTTTTTCTTATTAATATGTCTTTTCCCCTTCATTAGCATGGATAATTGCATATATACAATACAAGGCAAGTTGGTAATACTGGCAATACATACTCTATCTGAACACAATCACCCCACTGGAACTGTCCCTGAGAATCAACTCCAGTAGCCATATCAGAACAGAGCTGGACATCCTTTGGCAGTACTTCCAGCTCATGCATCGTCAGGTCCGAAAATAACACGACACGGTTTTCTTCTACTCGAACAATCAGACCTGTGTCGCCCTCATATCGACCTGACAGCACTTTCACATGATCACCATGTCTAAAATACTTCTTCAGTTCACTGGCTTGGAATTCTAGTGGTTCCTGAAAGGGTCAAAGATGAATACCGTGAAAACAACTTTTAAGGTTTCTCTTAGGAGTGGTCAATCTAAACACTAAAACCTTTGAAGAGGAAAATTAAGACTAAGATTAACTTTGGATCACTGGAACTCAATAGATAAGACAACAGGAACAGTAAACAGTGTGCAGCCAGTGAAATGAATGAAGGCTTAGCGGCATCAATAAGGAAACTAATTCAATGCAGTGTATAACATGTTTTCTAATATTTACAAGGTGGTTCAAATATGACCGGGACTGATTTAAAAAAAAACATAATTTCCAAACACTTACTTGCACATGTCAGTCTTCAACGTACTCCCCTCCAGAGTCAACACATTTTTTCCAACTTTCTGGAAGCATCCTCATGCCCCCCCCCCAAAAAAGACTTGTGGTTGGTGGCGTATCCACTCCCGAACAGTCTGGATGACGGCGTCGTTGTCCACAAACCGCATGCCTTGCAAGTCTGCTTTGAGCCTTCTGAACAGGTAGAAATCACTTGGTGCCAAATCGGGACTGTACAGCAGATGTGGGATGTGTCAGAAGGTACCATTTCAATTTCCGGAGGGTTTCCATTGTTGTTTTGGCTGTATGGGGGTGTGGTCTTGAAGGAAGGCTACCCGCTTTCCATCTCTTTTCTGCTTGGATCAGATCTTTCCTTCATGTTTGTTGCCAGGAGGTCTGAGTAATAAGCTGCATTGACCGTTCTGGCATCGGTCAGAAAGTCTACATGGATAACCCCCTGCCAACGATCATGCGGTTCATTCTCCACGCGCTCTCTGCCCTCTCTGTAGCACGTGCACCACTCAAACACACGGGTCCGTGAGAGACACTCTTCCCCATACTGTTGTTGGAGTCTGTGGTGAATTTCAGCGGATGGGACGTTTTCTCCGAGGAATTTGATTACAATGCGTTGTTCCACACTCCGCGGTACCTTCTGTTCACTCATCACTCTAGCAACTTCCAGACAGGACTGCACAGGTTTTAACCCGAACAGGAGGAAGTGGAGGTTGTGGCTACAATCTTTCAAGGTTGCACAGCTGCTGCACAGTGTGGCTTGTTTACAAAAAAATCAGTCCCAGTCATATTTGAACCACCTAGTATTTTCGTTCACATGTCTAGAGTGTGAATATGAAATTAGAATATCAAATTATTCTTTCTGTGCAGGGTAATTCAAAACCATCCTCCATTTTGGTAAATACAGTAGAACATTGAAAAAGTGGCTACTGTTGTATGTTAGTATGGTGCAAAAATTAGTCTACTAGGAGAAAATTCTAATATTGGTTCTAAAATTTTTTTTACAAATTCTTGTATCATACTTAACATGGCATTCTTGCATATGCCTGCTTCTCAGTAAAAATAGAACGAGCAAGTTTAGAGAAAGAAAAATATATTCCTTTTACAGATATTTAAATTACTCACATGAAGCTCTTCATGTCTTGGCATGACTGTGATGACATTGCCATCTATGGCCAATATCTTTCCATGTAGGTTTGCCAATTCTCCTTCACAAACTTCCACATTGTCACCAGCTGAGAAACTGTGAGAAGTCACATCATCTTTTCCTCCAGCACCAGTGCTAGGCAACTCAATATCAATGCCTTCTGGGGCCTCTTCAAACCGCTCAAGCTCTGACAATGTAGGTTTCACTCCTGGGGTGCAAAGATTATGTTAACTGGAGATGCATAACATTATCCTTCAAGATAAAATTATGTTATTCACAGCATGCAGTTTGCAGACAAATAACAGTTCTTTACTTTGTATAAACAGCAAAACCACCACTTCCAGTTTGAGGACCAGTGTGCTTAACTACTAAACCAAGGAAAATCTACAGTGGAGACTACTGACTTGGGATCACTGAAATTGGATCTTAAATGAAGGAGAACTTTATATGGAGATAAGTGAGTAACAATCAGATGCAGGTGGCAAACTAAGTTTTCTGCCTGTGACATGTTCCTCTGAAACATCAGGGGTCTCTCTGAACTACACAGTGTTATAACCTGGCACATTATACTCTTCACAAAGTAAGGTAAAGGTATCCATGTAGCAGGCCATTGAGGCCCATAGGGTAGTGAGATGTTGAGGCTCCCACATTTTCTAGACATTCGGGCTCACAGATGATGGTAAGGTTGTCAACCTTATGCGCCGGCCACCCTTTACAACCAGGAAGATTGCTGGTACTCATTTCTGTAAGAGGCTTAGTTGAGCCCAGGGTCATGGTGTGAGTGGAAGGATTAGGTAAACTGAAAAAATCCACCTCATCAGGATTTGATCAAGCGATCTTCCGGCTTGTAGCATAGTGCCTCGACCAACTACGCTACCGCAAAGTACTAAGACTAAATCTGTAAAAATTAAGATCTTACACTGCTGAAATATAATACAGTGTAATTATAAACACATTCAATAATGCTGCATTCTACTGCAAATTAAAAACGAACTACATGCATTCCAGAAGAAATAGAAACTGACATTTTGGCTTTCATAGTTTCTCATGATAAAATGAATGGAATTATAATGAGGTTATCTGACATGGTCTGATCAGCAGTAACTCATATTCCAACAAAAGATTTAAAATGCAAGTGAATAATAAAATGAACCTGGCAGGATGTCAAAATAGCTTACACATACTTCAGTAATTGCACAGGTTAGGAACTTAGCACCAAACAATAAACAATTTGATTACGAACGATTTGTTGGAAGGATTTGAAGGAAAGAGCCCGTTGCCTGTTTTAACATTTATCATCTGGAAGTATGGACTTTCTTTCTCCCTGTACTGTGGGGCAGGTGGGCATATTTAAATTTGGCAATAACAGTCACCATACTAGAATACAAGGTTTCCAAACTCCCAGTTCTACAGAGCTAGCAGTCATATTTTAATGGTAATGGTATCAATATTGAAACACTGAAATGCTTGACCATCTGGACTGCACATGTGCATCAATGAGACACAGATAATATAAGTGAGCGCTCCAACCCAGCAACTGCTTGAATAGACTAAGGTAAATCACTAAAAATGTCAGTCATAACATCCAGTATTTCAACCGAGATTCAAACTAGACATCTCTGGAACATAAAAAAGGAAAGCTAACCACTACACCGTGATGATCACATTAAACTCTTAGCAGAATGCTTACACAGAAATAATACAAATTCAAACACACCATCTGCTATGATTCCACTCATGGTGAAATTTTTATACAAGAAGCCTTTCCTTGAATAACGGTTGCCCTCAAATATAAGGAAGTCTCCATCTGAAGCCACGTCTCCACCAATATTTCTGATGGCCTCTGGGTCAAATGGTTTAGGAGGTGGGCGACGTTTCTTCTTCCTTTTGGCAGCTTCATTCTCCTGGAATTATTAGTAATGATTAGTATTATTAGATGCTGTAAATGTGCATTTGTTCTCAAGTTTGTAAGCATTCTCAGTAGTCCAGTAATTGTAAGTATATGATTTACATTTCATTTGAATGAAAGTGGCCCTCATCACTCATGAACAGTTTTCTTGGTATATAACAGTCTGCTGTTGTGGTTTAGCACATTACAAACTAAAATCCCTGAAAAAACTGTGCTGTTACCAAAATACATTTCCAGTAAATCTAGACAAGCAACACAGCAACATGTACACTGCAGCAAACCACTCTGCTCTCAAAACTTCTTGCCAAATCCACAAACCTGTTCTTCAAGGTCACCGTGCTTCACTCATTCTCACTATGCATACAAACACATTCTTTCAACTGTTTCTAATGGACCTTGTACATACTTTCATTTTACTTACAGACTGAGTAGTACGAAGGGCTCCTCTAAAACGGGTATAATCAATGCGTGGCAACAGTTTCAAATGGACTTGGTTTTGGGCAAGATCCACATAGTCAACTTGGGCTATATCATCTCTGTACAGTCCCCGTTTAAGGCGAACCCACTGCTTCACTTTGAGACCAGTCTGTTCTTTCACCACTCGGAGAACATCTGTCATTTCCTTGATAGGCACCATCTACAACAGCAACATTTACAACCTCTAAGACTGGGTTAACAAGAGTATACAGTTTATATGTGGTCACATTAATTCAGAAAAATCAAATAATTAAATGACTAATTATCTGACTTCCTACTTCCTCTTTATATATGAACTGGACAGATATATATATATACACAATTCCACACACCACTTAATCTATTACACTCTCCACTAACCATCATTAGCAATACAAAAGAATCTGAGCAAAATAAATGGTCAATACAATGTAAAACAAACTCCCCCAAGTTTGGAGCAGGATTCATATCTCTTCACATTTGAGGCATAGCCACTGATATTGTCCTAACCACTTTACTGTCTTACTTTTAAAAGGAAAGGGAATCTCCTTAAAATGTTAATTAATGTCTACTCATATTAAAGAAACACCTCTGTATCACAAAATAAATACCACCATAATTCGGAACTTTGAGAGACCTACATTTTTTATTTTATGAGGATCTCTGTAGAACCAGAGGACTGTAAGACAGACATTTCTTTCAACTCCAATTATGTACCAACATACCTGCTGAGTCCACTGCCCCATTCTCAAATTGCTGACATTTAAAATTGCTTGCTTCACATGGGGCTGCTTATATGCTTCAATATAAACATATCCTTTGACACCCTCTGGAGCAATCACAGACTTGATCTGTAACGGCTCATTGCTGAATTGGTATGCGATGAACTTCCGCATCATATGCATTACAGTTGCCTTTTCTTCTCCAATGCGGCACTTCACCATCCACAGATTTGGATCCCTAGGGCAAGCATTCACAACTTTCTAATCACAAACGATATGACATGAGGAAGAATCAATCCCTTACATTAAACATATTTCTTTGTCATCCTCATCATTCATGATCAGACTTCAACAAATATGGTCCTCAACTACTCACCACGTAGAGTTTAACTACATACAGTACAAAAATAATTAGCATGCATAATTAGATCAAATGGAAGACATTACAAACAACAAAAACAAAACAAATTCTGTGGCCTGTAGTCCACAAGAGAACTATACCAACCGAGTGACCACCACTTGTCGACTAAGTTAGTGCCAACTTTAGCCAATAGAGGGTGTCACATGGTCAGCACAATAAATCCCCACGGCTGTTAATCTCGGTTTTCTAGACCAGAGCCACTATTTCCTTGAAACAGCTCCTTAAATATCCTCATGAACCTGAGTGGACCCCATTCCAGACCCACTACTTCTCAGAAAATCTGGTTGCGCCAGAAATCGAACCCAGGATGTCTGGATCTGTAGCCATGAACTCTGACCACTAGACCACAGAAGCAGTCCAATGAAGATTACACTACGGAAAAAGTAGTTTCCAGAAGCCCTAGTGTCTGGCGAACAACAGTGGTCATATAAAAAATTACAATGAAATTTCTTCAAATAAAACAACAGTATGACCCATAAGGAACAGTAATATACATGCAACAAATAGTATTACACATTCTTCTTCCAATAGCATGTAATAGTATTATCTCATCATGTGATGATTTAAACCACTGTTGTACTTACTTCACTCCAGGAAGGAGGGTCTGCTGGGTGATTTCATCAGACATTTCTTCACCTCCATCACCAAAGTGTCGCATTGGGACAGATTCATCAGCATATTTCTTTCTGAGGTACTCTTCAATTTCATCTTCCTTCTGAGAGCTGAAAAAATATGTGTATATTAGTTAAAGAGAAAATTATACATCCGACATACAAAGAAATTCCTATGTGTTCACCTGTACTCTTATTAATAATTATAAGAGACTAGTTATTACGTAGTATTGTGACGTGGATGGCGCAACAGCAAGTAGGGGTCACGTGAACTCTGCAGTCTCGCGAGTGACGTCACATACCACCACTCCTTCCATCATTATGCAATGCTCGGTAAACACCACCCTCCCCCACGATGACATAACAAAAGAGCAACTGTGTCAGGCAACCACTGCCGCGGTGACATAACAGCATAGGAGCCGCTGCCAATGCTATGGCAACAGGCCAGTAAACACTCTGCCCCCCCCCAGTGACGTAACAGGGGACACCGCTGTTAACAAGGGGCAACAGAGAACGGTATAAAAAGGCCAGCTGAGCAGTGTGTGAACAGAGTGTGTAATCAGGAGTGACAGAGTGTGGATCGTGAAGTTGCCAAGTGTAGCGGAAGTCTAGCAGTCGCCGAGAGCAGTGGAAGTAATTGTGATATGGCCGATGGCAGTAATTGTGTAATTGTGAATTGTTAAGTGTACGAGCAAATGTGGAATAAATTCGCTATATTCAATATGGCATGAAGTCATTTGTTGCGTCAAACACCCAACACATGACAATATTATATTTATAATAGCACTGAAGCCTCTGGACTGCCCCCATCTTCAGAGCTGAAGAGTAAACCAAGCAACAAACCAGCAATAATTGGCTTGCACTTTGACTCTGAAGACAAAGAAAAGGCATTCCTCTGACACATCAGTGGATGTCTACTAAAACACTCAGTGTTACAACACAAAGGCCCACACTCTTCATAGTCACTGATGTGAGAACCTTAAATCTAACACACTTACCAGCAGTATATTACTGAATAATAATAACTCCATGGTTTTAATCAGCAAGCAAACTATACCGATTGAGTTATCGCCACTTGTTGGCAAAGTTAGCTTTAGCGGCTAGAGGATATCACATGGTTAGTGCAGCAAATCCCCACAGCCGTTAATTACGGTTTTCTAGACCGGATTACTGAGACCTACATTATCTAAAATATTAGAACCCTTCATCACATCACACCCATCACTACTGCTTTTAGTACTTGTTTCTCTATCTGTACACAATGATTCCATAATAAGTGGGAGAGTAAAGGATGAAGTTACACAAAGCAAAAATGCAAAAAAACTTAACAAAATTTTCAAAATCAAAATGTCTGTTATTGTTGTTGTTTGCAAATTATAACTAATAATAACCTACTGAACTGATTTCTGATTGTTAAATTAGTATTTTTCTAATACTGTATTTTATAAACATGAAATTAAATGCAACATATATGTACCAGCAGCTCAAAGATAACGAAAAATATTTTATCATTCCACTTTCATTTGTTTTAATGAAATTTCAGTTTACAGAAGTCTTTAGTCTGATGATGTACAAATAAAGGTAAGGTAAACCTATCTCTGTAACATGCCATGGAAGCCAATAGGGTTGTGATATATCAAGGATCCCACATTTTTTTTTGTAGACCATCGGCTCACAGGTGGCGCTGATGTCTCACAGGTGGCGCTGATGTGATCATCCTTATGCACCAGCCACCCTTTGAACCCAGGAAAATTCCTGGTACTCATTTCTGTTAGAGGCTGAGACAAGCCCAGGAACATGGTGTGGCTGGTAGTATTACGTGAACTAAAAAATTCCATGAACTCATCAGAAATCGAACCCATAACCTTCCGGCTTGTAGCACAGTTCAACCAACTGCGTTACCACATACCTCGATTATGTACATATACACGAGTTTTGTTGTAGTTGAAGGTAGCAGGTTCAATTCCCAATGAGGTCATTGGATTTTTTCAGTTGACCTAATCCTTCCAGCCGCACTAGGCCCTGGGGTCAACTCAGCCTCTAACAGAAATGAGCACCAGGAATCTTCCTGGAAGGTAAAGGGTGGCCGGCGCGTGAGGCTGACAACCTTACCGCCATCTGTGAGGCGATTGTCTAGAAAATGTGGGAGCCTCGACGTCTCACAACCCTATGGGTCTTCACGGCCTGGTACAGGGATAGCTTTACTTTTACTCACTATCAGTGTCTTTCCCTTTCACAGCTAAAACCCACACCATAACAAGCCTCAGTCTGACTGAAATGAAATACTCAAACACATGTATCATACTTACTCCCAGAGACTGGTCCCACGACGACGCCCTTCAATTTCCCTCGCAGTAGGACCATGTTCATCAAACTCATTCCCAATTATGCCAATTTCCTGCGCTCCTTCCTCCCACTCGTCTTCATCTTCAACCTCGTCATCCACCTCGGCTTCATCTATGATAAACCCTCCTCCAAACCGGTCCTTTTTTTTCTTTTTACGTGGACGGTCATCTTCCTCTTCCTCTTCTTCTTCGTCATATTCCTAAGAATTAACAAAACATGCCACTAAACAAATATTACTATGATATTACTGTCAATCATTCATTCATGATCTTGCTGTCACATTACTATTCCTGGACAAGAAAAATTACAGTATATCTGTAGTGCAACATTCCACGGTAAGATATGCCACATTTTAAAAACCTATTAGTTATACGTTTTAACACAAATCTGTCATGAAAAAATTATGCATACACTGAACTAATTTCTCAAAACTATGACTCTCTAGCACACTTCAAACACCTGGCATCGCAGTATTAGTTACATAGTAATAAATCAGAACTTTATTACAATTTCTAATGTCCTCAGTGCCACCCCAAATATACAATTTATTTTTCATAATCTTCATCTAAAGCTTCAAGGGGTTCAGTACATGTCACAGTTCAGTTACATAAGAAATGAAATGCAGTAACATCTGCAAATGTCTAATAAAAATTCTAATATTACAACAAATATACTACATATCTGCATAATCATAAAATAAACTGGCCCCACCAAGATACCTGTCCTCCAGACATAACACCATACGGTTAACAGAAGTTTAGTGACATTTAAGAGAAAAATGCTTTAATCTTCAGGACTAACAACAGACATACCATGTTCCTCTGATGTGTAGATAAATTTCTACTGGGCTACCAACTGCCACATCACTTTAGATAGTTGCCTTCATAAGTCACCACTATGAGAAACTCAAGTTTCACATGGTTTCCCCAAGATTATAATTCAGAAGAGTGGCTTGCTTGCCTATATTTGAAACTATACTGAGCGTATGTAAAAATATACTAGACATTTTGCAACTTTCCATTGTAATATGCAGAGAGCAAAAATTCATATGAAGACAGAATTGCATGTATAAAATCTGGGATGTGTAACATGATAACAATTTTTAATGTCTACACTCATTATCAGAATAATCTGTGAAAATTTAAAAACTGCACCAAGAACTCTTAATATTTGATGAAACCCTGACACTAACATACGATCCTGAAACTATTATTAAATGATGACAAAGCACATGGACACAAGGAAGAAAGCAGGTGTGTTTTCCCCACCCCACATGCATGCACACGTGCACACACACCACATATGTACAAGTGCACTGCTATATCGAGAACTAAAACATTTAAATATGAAGATTTCTTTGATGTGCACATTTAATTGCTGGCAGTATAACACCTCAGGGGCAATATCACTAAATTAAAATTTTAACATGCATGAACACATACATCCTCATCCTCAGAATTCAAATCTTCTCCTTCAGGTTCTTGCTCATCTTCAATTTCTTCATCCTCCTCTTCACCAGGCCTTACTTCTTCTGCTTCATCATCTCGCTGATCATCAGATCTACGTTCATCATCTTCTTCAGAATGAGATCGTGATCTGGATCTAGACCGGGATCTAGAACGTGACACAGACCTGGACCTTGATCTGGATTGTGATGGCGAATGAGAGCGTGACCGTGACGGAGATCGTGACCTTGACCTGGACACAGAACGTGATTTGGCACTGGATCTTGATGGAGACCCAGACCTGGACTGCTGGTCCTCATCACCAGACCCTGCATCAGATCTCACCTCCTGCCAAAAAGCACACGCTCTTAACATATTCTGTAATAAACTCAGGATTTCTTACAATTACTGGAACAAAAATTCTGGGTTAATGAGCAGAAATACTGAAGTCGAGAAAATGGCCTACAGATATGGAGAATATAGTGAATAGGCAGTTACAGATTTCCTACAAGGGACAGTCCTCCAGTTTGGGGGTTGGGAGAAGGACTAACAACTCACCATAAAAAATCAGGGAAGTTATGAAATGTTATGCAGAATTGGACTTGGACACAACCTCTGAAACAAGGTAAGCAATGGAAAATGGACATTGGATTCAGAACGTGGAATGTAAGGTGTCTCTGTAAGGCAGGTTCAGTGAAAGTAACAAGAGAGGAAGAAAAATAAAATTTATATATGGTGGCAGTACAGGATGTCACATGAAACAATGGTGGCACAGAACCACAGCAAACAATTGTACATATATCTATGAAAATTTGGATGAGAATAAAAAATTAGGGACAGGAGTTTTTGTAAAATTAGGAAACGTATCAGCAAATTAGTCAGCAAAACTTGTTAGTGATGGGATGCTGTACAGGGTGAGGTATGAGGATATGACATTTTTTTTTTTTATTGTTGTGGGAGACTGAACTTCAGCGGATATACAGTGTCATATGGTAGGCGTAACGGATCCCCACAGCAGTTAATCTCGATTTTCTAGACTGGAGCCGCTATTTCCTTCAAATAGCTCCTCAGTTATCCTCACAAGGCTGAGTGGACCCCATTCGAGACCCACAAGATAAGGTCTGAGGCTCTTAAGTCATAGGATCTTGCTGGACAAGGAATGTTTCCAAATTTTGAAATCAAGCAGCCTGGAAACATTTCCCTAAGAACATTAATGCTTTGGGCTGCCAGGCCAGTTCATCATGACCACTAAACTGCACACATAGACAAGTGTGTGCATGCAACAGTAACAATCATTAACCCACAGCAACAGTACAAAAACTGTCATATCCTCATGAATAGCTGATGTATTATCTCAATGTACGCCAATTTTTTTCCAGTACCTGACAAATGCAAACAAATCTTATCAGTACTTGATCTGTTATGTTGAAACCCACACTGATGTTCGCTGATAATTTTGTCTATGTACGAACTTAACCTTGAAAGGATATTTAAAATTCTGCATGTAGCTGATAACAGCGACATGTCTCAGTAATTACTACGGTCAGTTATATCGCCTTCCTTGTACACTGGTACAATTATAGACACCTTTCACTCCACATGCAATCCTTCCTTATTCCACATAGAATTAATGAGTTTATGGATCTCAAAACATGTTTCACCTCCTGCTTGAATCACGTCTGCTGGAATTTGTTCAGTTCCTAGCAATTTATATTTTTTCAACTTTGTAACAATTTCAGCCTCAGAAGGACTACGCTCAGGTACCAATGAATCAGCTGCATATACTTCCATCTGCTTAACATCACTGACCCTACATACATTTGTTATGCCGCAAATTTTGAGACTGGAAATCAAAATTATTGCCTAAACATTACGAGAGCATCTCACCGTAATTAGAGCAGTGATGGCCACACATAGGCTGTGGAACACGGTCAACAGACACCGTAGTCAGCAGAAACGCGCAATCGCACTACTTTGTAAGTGGCGCTTGGAAACACCTGGAGACTACGAAATTACAAAATGCAAAGAGGGAGGCGCCGCGATTGCCCGTGACGAGTCGGATTTAGCCAATTAGAAATTACCACTTTAGCAATTGAGGATGAAGGGAGGAGTTAACCTCCCTCTCTGTTCGCTGCAGCGTCAGCGATTTTAATAATATAAAAATGAGAAAAAAAAACCCACTCAGGAATCGATCTAAAAACGTAATATTCAATAGTCAGTCGAAGGCTCTGTCCGACATGGGTACTACAAGTGGTGGTGTCGCTGCATCTCTATCTCAAGTAAGTNTGCAATCGCACTACTTTGTAAGTGGCGTTTGGAAACACCTGGAGACTACGAAATTACAAAATGCAAAGAGGGAGGCGCCGCGATTGCCCGTGACGAGTCGGATTTAGCCAATTAGAAATTACCACTTTAGCAATTGAGGATGAAGGGAGGAGTTAACCTCCCTCTCTGTTCGCTGCAGCGTCAGCGATTTTAATAATATAAAAATGAGAAAAAAAAACCCACTCAGGAATCGATCTAAAAACGTAATATTCAATAGTCAGTCGAAGGCTCTGTACAACATGGGTACTACAAGTGGTGGTGTCGCTGCATCTCTATCTCAAGTAAGTCATGTTTGCTCATACTAGCCATGCTGTTAAACTTTATGGTTGTTGGTAAATTGTTGTTTGTTAAATACTGAAAAAGCAATGTCCAGTGTGCCCGGCGAGCCCTTAGGGTAGAATAATAGAAATCATGTAACAAGTAACAGGCAAGGTTGTTAGTGTGGTAAACATGGTTGTCGTTATATTGTGTGTATGATCATAGTTGTGACTATGGATTTTGAGACAAACATACTTAGATTTTTCTAGTATTTACAGTTAAGGAGTAGGGTATTTTAAAGGTGAAGTATTATGATAGAATAGTGTAGAATTGTGTAATGAGTAGTAGGGAAAAGAGAGAGAGTGAGACAGACTCAAGTCCTACACCCCGAAGGGGAGACCATGATGAGGTCATGGCGTAGTAACGTCAGGACACTATGTAGTTCCGACTGAGAGTTGGTATTGTTAATATTGTAAACAGAATACAAATTAAAGTGTAAATAGATCAGTGACCTAGGGTAGGACAGAGATGGCGATCGAGTAACAGTAATAAAGAAAGTGACAGTCTCAAGCCATCTGCTCTAGGCGAGAGACTAGAACGAAGTCAGAACTATCACGCCCCGATACCATGTGTAAACCGACAGACGTCGGCATTTTTCTATTGTAAATAATAGTGTAAATAGACAGTGTGATTAGAGTAGGATGTACCGGGATTGTGATTTACTTCCCCGAACCAACCCGTCCACGACCGATCCAGAGCGATCCTGGTCCAAGCGAAGGCAGAACTGACCCAGGCAGCTAACGGCAGCCGGATGCAACTAGCAGTAAGGGTTATGAGAATCCTAGTTAAGGGTGAGAGACCAATAGGAGACAGAGAGATAGCGTCCCTGATGGAACAAGGGAAGAGTAATTTAGATATTTCATTAGCCCCTTGAGGCATAACAAAGTGATGGCAGTAGTGAATGGGCTAGCCAAAGAGAGATGGCAGCCATAATGAATTAGCAGTGTATTTAACCCACCCCTGTCACCACGGCATAATAAATGGGGACAGCGGTGAGATATCCAATCCACCCGTCACAGAGACATAATATATGGTGTGACAGTCGATGGGTAGAGGCGGGTCAGACGCAACACGCCCGCGCTATGCCATTACGAAGTGATGACAGTGGTGGAGAGGCCAGCCGACAAAGAACGCTCGACTACCGCGCTACCTGCCCTTAGTATTTTCATCAACCCTTTTAAGATATAACAGATGGTGGCAGCTGTATACAACGAAGAAGGTCCAGAACCAGGAGAATCCTAGCTGAGGGTAATCTAGTATTATTGTGTTAACCCCTTACAGCATAATATGTGGTGGCAAGGAGGGATACCTACACGCCCCCGTCACCACGGCGTAACAAGTGGTGGCAGCGGTGGTATCTCTACACGCCCCCCTGCCACCACAGCGTAATAACATTCAATAGTTGAGAAAAGCAATTCTCCCACCTACTCAAAATGTGCTTGGAATGTATGAGACAATCACTGTTCTAATCCTTCACCAAGTTAGTTCTAGGTTGGTAATCCTTCTTACATTTATTTATTCCTCTGTGTTCTAGGTTGGTAATCCTTCTTACATTTATTTATTCCTCTATGTAAGTCCCTAGAGTTATTGTTCTTACTGTGCATTGGAAGCTCATTAATTTTGTCTTTCAGATATTCCTTCCTTTATTTCCTGAGGTACCTGCTACCTTCACTTCTTACGTTGTTCAGATTATTGCCATTTATTTCACCTGGATCCTGTAACCACTGCAATTTTGTTTACTTCCTCTGACCTAATGGTTTTGATCATCCTTTGTCAAACCATGGCTTGCGTTGATTTAATTCACAATAACCTAGACTCCCTTTGGCTGAAATGTTCTCATTCTATCCAGCAGCATCCCAAGTTCTATTAATATCAACATAATCTTCTACATTTTCAAAAGCTGCAAACCTGTTTGAGATTTTAATTGGATGCTGTTCTTTCTTCATCCCAGTGAGGTCACTGGATTTTTTTCAATTTACCTAATCCTTCAAGCTGCACTATGGCCCTGGGGTCGACTCAGCATCTAGCAGAAACGAGTGCCAGGAATATTCTTGGAACGTTCTTGGGGGTAAAGGGCGGCCAGCATGTCGGGCTGACAACCTATGAGTCGATTGTCTAGAAAATATGGGAACCTCATTATCTCACAACCCTATGGGCCTCCATGATCTGTTACAGGGACACCTTTACTTTTTTTACTTTAATGTTCTTTACCCTCTTCACCGTTTAGTCTCTTGGGACTGAACCTCTCCATATCAAATTTTTTCATTGATCACTGACAAACTGCCAGTCTCTCCCTAAATTCTGCAACCACCACATAGTGATCAGTATCACACCCCACTGCCTTGACTGGATGTCAAGTACACTTCATTACTGTCTCTATCTATCCATACATGGTTGATATGTTTTTGTCTTTACATCAAGACATGACCATATAAATTCAAGACTGTTATGATGTATGAACACGTTGTGATGTGTGAACATGGCCCCCTTGACAATCAGATTTCTGGATATGGCAAAGTTTACTACTCTAANCTGATATGTTTTTGTCTTTACATCAGGACATGACATATAAATTCAAGACTCTTATGATGTGTGAACACGTTCTGATGTGTGAACATGGCACCCTTGACAATCAGATTTCTGGATATGGCAAAGTTTACTACTCTAACTCCATTACCATTACTAATTTTGTGTAAAACTCTTGTTCCCAACTGTTGGTTTGAAAATATCTTCTTTACCTACTGTGGCACTAAATTACACATTCCACTTCCTCACAGAATCTGTCCTTTGTATCAGCAGTTTTATCCTCTGTGAGGGCATCAACATTCAGAACAACATGACATTAGCTACCTCTTAGTATTAAATACAACATCCTATCACTAACAAACTCTACCCTCTTAACTGCTGATATAATTCTCCTAGGTGTAAAAAAAACCCTGGAAGCTGAGATAGTGCAATCAGTATAGCAACTGGCTATAAGCTGGATGGCCAAAGAGTTGGGGTTTGCATCCTGGTAGGGTCAAGAATTTTCTCTCTTCCACACCATCCAGACAAGTTCTGAGGCCTACCCAGCCTCCTATCAAAATGGTACTGGAGGCTCTTTCTCTAGGGGTAAAATGGCCAGGGTATGAAGCTGACAACTCACTTCCAACTAGTGGCAAGGTAAAGAAAACGTGGATTTATACGTCCCCTCCAAATACGTCTTCATGGCATAGTGCTTAATTAGGTAAGCACAGGGACAAATTTACCTTACAAAAATTCTGTCACTAATTCATTATTCTCATACCCACTTCCATAAAGAATGCATAATTGTCTGCTGGTTCAGTGCCACCTCTGTACCATCTGACCACTTGTACTTTCACCAAGTCTAACATATGGCAACTGTTGTCAGTGATCCTGCCCTAGAGAGATTCCTTATATTCCATGTGCCCCAAGTAATATGATGCTCTAATACCTAACAACATCTCCAGGTTATGGACATGCATTTTTCAACACTAGCATTGCCCACCTTGTAAATCCTTAACTTTGTAGATATACAGGGTGTCCCAGGAGGAATGTGCCAGGCTTCGGGAGGGTGTTCCTTATGTTAAAGTACGCCGATATAACCCAAAGTTGAATGGTTACGGAGCTAATGGCCAGAGAAGTGTGAAACTTTGACAGGTGTTACACACTTGTTGATTACCAAATACATATTAAAACTGGCAGGAATATGCGGTTTCTGTAATGTTAATAATGTATGTAACATCAAACAAACTTGTGAGTGACATGAAGCCATTAAATTGAACTACAAAAAACTCGCATGCCATGTCAAAGTTATCGTTAGGGTTCCAAGCACTATACATGACACATGAATGGCAAGCACTGACATAACATGGCTGACTGCACGTTCTGGTATGCGAGTGTATGGGGCTAACATGAGCCATCGTCACCACACTCAAGGACAAACATAAGTAAGACTTGTAAGCTGACAGGTACAGTGCGTGGTCCCGCCAGAAGACCACACTTTTCTCGGGCCATTATCTCTGTAACCGTTCAACTTTGTACATAGGTGTTTTAGGTTATATCGGCATACTTCAACATAAGGAACATCCTCCCGAAGTCTGGCACATTCCTCGTGGGACACCCTGTATGTGTGTGTGTGTGTGTGTGTGTGTGTATATATATATATATATATATANNNAATAAGACAAAATTAAGAGATACAAGTACCAGGCCAAAGTTATGTGGGTAACATGTGTAAAAGTCTTAACAATGCAAAACAAAACTGACTATATGCAAGCCATCCAATATACATCCCTAGATTTGCTACTTCCTATTACTCTCAGCATCAATGAATTCTTAAAAATGTCTATGACCAGTGTCAATCAAGAAACTTCATGCCCTACCATAATAAGATGTGCTTGGCTGGCACTGTTAGAGACTTTATGTAGCATCGAACAGCGTTCTATAATAGGTATTACATATTGTGGCGTATAGACCCGTTGATAAGCAGTGACTCTGTAAACACCGGCAGTTGCTTGGTAATTTCCACAAAATACATGCACACAAAATAGACGAACTGTATTTTCAATGTGTTCCATACCGAGATGTTAAACTTGGCAGTGATCAAGCTTACAACTGTTCAAGTGACTAAGCTGCCATTGTAGCATAAGATATGTAAGATAGGCATGAGCTGCTCTGTAAAGCCTGTACTGACAAAGGACTTGTGTGTAATGCGAAAGCAAGAATTTTCGATTACAGGCTATATGTGTGAAATGTACGCTTGACGAAAGGCCACATTTATTCATAAGAACTATTACCGCAAGAGTTCAGTTGAAAAATAATCTGTTCGTGTGTCTCAAGGGGCCTGACGCCAAGACGAATTGACTGGGCGTAAATCGTTAATCGTAAAATAACTCTGACTTTGTCATGATAGTCAGTTCTGCATGGGAGGTTGTAAATAGGATCTCAGCCGGAGGCAGAGGAACAGCCACTGTTGGAGCCGTTTCCAATACATATCTAATAACAGACTGAGAACACTAGACTGTGTACTCTAGTAAACGGTAAAGCGTGGAAACAGCAATAGTGTTATAGTCTTTGTAGTTACAACCTGTAAGTGACCAATACATCCATTCACCAATCCAAACCCCGTCTAGAGCCAAACATATTATGTAACAATATTGTTATTTAACAGACATCCAGTGAATAGCATTCAATATTGTTGGCGAAACTAGAGGTATCCACCATCCGACTTCGACACATCATTCGAATAAAATTCGGCAAACGGCTTAAAGTTATAAAGTTAAATGTTTAATTACTTCAACATCACTGTCAGATTGTTGGTTACTTCCCCTTTCGCTTTCATTGTCCGAAAAATTGCTCCCCTCCGAATCCGACATCTTAACCATCTTGTCGTTCACGATCTTCACTGTTGTCGCACAATTTAGGACATACCAACCATACCAACCAATACCCCCAATACCAGCGGTGCATAACACGGATCAAAGACAATAGATCACGGAGAAAAAATGAACATCGTGAAACAACGTAGTTGGTATACACGTCATGGAACCATGGAAACTCCGTCGGTTAGAGATCCAACAACAACGGTGACCGTAGTGACGGTAGTGACAGTCGTCACAGTTACTGGGCCGGTGAAATTCGACCCACACAATCGTTGGAGCGTTGGAGATCCCAGCCCCCTGCTTCGTTCAAACTTGTCCAATTCCCCGCAAAATCGTTACCAGGGGCATCTGTCCCTTTTCTATAAATTGGTTTAACTATTGATATTTTAATATGGCTGGAAAGATAACTTCTCTACTTGATGTGCTGACTAATTATCAAAGTAGTTTTATTATGTAAGGTACACATTTTTCAGTAACTAAGGTGAGACATTATCAAATCCTGCTGATTTTTTATTCTTGAAGCTGTGGATTAATTTAATCAATCCAGTCTGTTATTTCTAATAAAACAAATTAATCTTTTAGGCTTACTGTATTATTACTAGTTTGTAAATGCATGTAATTCAGGTAAGGGTATTTATATTTTGTGAACACCATACACACTTTACCACTCTACTCTATTAAATAGCATTTACATAAGATATGCATAAAACCTCTGTCCATGCAGGCTTGTGCAGCAGGTTATGCAGAAGACTTCTGTTCATGCACGGCTCCTTGTCCAATTGCACGTATATTTGGGTTTAGATTATTTTGGATGACTTCTGTTTCCTATAGAAATTAATTATTCAGTTGTACACATAAGGAATTTTAAAAGCCACATGCAAACCATGGACCAGTGTGAGCCTGTCAAGGTTGCCGATAGCATGGAGAACTCTGTTCCGTTAAACATGCTTGAATCATTATTGACAGGTAAATTGCTGCTAGCTCTCACCAGCACAGTCAGTCTTGGTTTCAGGGTTACATCAGGACCCGTGGCTATATTTTTGTTCCTAAACTTCTGTGTGTTTAACAAGAGGGCAGCTATAATTACTACTGGTCACTCCCATTACAGTGGATGTGACCGACTCACTTAAGACTGCAAAATGTAAATTTCTGCTAGAGCATATCATTATATTGTTCAAGATTTTGATTTCAGTTGTTATTTGATTTTTTTTCGGGAGTACTAATGCAAGCCAAAAATCTTTTTTGAAATTATGCAACCTAAAAGTAATAACACCAGTTACTGTTCCAACAAATGGAAGAATTTCATAATTTTGTCAGCAGTGAGAAGTGACAGTATGTAAAGATTTTGTCAGAGAATGGGAACTGCTCATGGGAAGATAAAGAACACCCTGAATTGCTGTCTAAGAGACATGCATCACAGTGGTTAATAATGACATAACTTCCCACAGGCTGTATTATGAAATAAATAACACTATAAAAGGCAGTTAGCCATTTAATACCTCATCAAGAATTTCACCAAAATTTCAGAAACAGTTTTGTATGTACATGGTAAAGTTCACTTATAACATTATGTAAAGTAGGCTTTATGGCAAAACATCAAAATGACTAATTGTCTCTCCAATTTCATTTAACAAGCACATGATCTGAGGTTTATGATATAGTGAAGAACCTAGATTATCTGATTTGCAGATCAACAGTTATTGTTTACACCCTTTAGTTAACGTGTTCACCATTATATGTCTCAGTAATATGTATCAGTGATGTGTGGATGTCAATACTCCAAGAGACAACCATGTAGAACTATAATAAATGTTTATTGCTGTCAGAATGAATATTATAAATGATCAGGGAAGCAGAGCGTGCCTGATGAATACTGGCAAAAACTCCCTTCATATCAGGTTAACCTGAGCTAATGACTGAATTCTTCCTTGCAGGAGTTTGGTGACTGTGAGCCAGCAAGATGCTGGGTGAAGCTCTNGCAGGTTAGCCTGAGCTAATGACTGCATTCTTCCTTACAGCAGTCTGGTGACTGTTAGCCAGCAGGATGCTGGATGAAGCTCTTGTAGTAGTGGGTTAGCCTGAGCTAGTGACTGCATTCTTCCTTGCAGGAGTTTGGTGACTGTGAGCCAGCAGGATGCTGGGTGAAGCTCTTGTAGTAGTGGGTTAGCCTGAGCTAGTGACAGCATTCTTCTTTACAACATAATGCAACTTACATTATGATTTAATATGGCTGATAACTGAAACTTCCTGACAACTTTTAGCAAGTCTCCATGCCGAATTTTAGAAGTCAGTCCAGTGGGTTTGGCACCGATACCAAGTCACAGCAGAAGGCCAGACATGACCACATAAAGTTTTTCTTTTCTCCTTGCATTGTAAAGAACACCTAACAATAAAGAACTAGTTTCATTGCTACTTTAACTCAAACACAGTTTCCTGGCACACGGTAGCACANCTTGCAGGAGTTTGGTGACTGTTAGCCAGCAGGATGCTGGGTGAAGCTCTTGTAGTAGTGGGTTAGCCTGAGCTAGTGACTGCATTCTTCCTTACAGGAGTTTGGTGACTGTTAGCCAGCAGGATGCTGGGTGAAGCTCTTGTAGTAGTGGGTTAGCCTGAGCTAGTGACTGCATTCTTCCTTACAGGAGTCTGGGGACTGTGAGCCAGCAGGATGCTGGATGAAGCTCTTGTAGTAGTGGGTTAGCCTGAGCTAATGACTGCATTCTTCTTTACAACATAATGCAATTTACATTATGATTTAATATGGCTGATAACTGAAACTTCCTGACAACTTTTAGCAAGTCTCCATGCTGAATTTTAGAAGTCAGTCCAGTGGGTTTGGCACCGATACCAAGTCACAGCAGAAGGCCAGACATGACCACATAAAGTTTTTCTTTTCTCCTTGCATTGTAAAGAACACCTAACAATAAAGAACTAGTTTCATTGCTACTTTAACTCAAACACAGTTTCCTGGCACACGGTAGCACAGTTGGTTGAGGCACTATGTTACAAGCTGCAAGGTCATGGGTTCAAGTCCCGATGAGGTCATTGGATTTCTTCAATTGACCTAATCCTTCCAGCCGCACTATAGCCCTGGGGTTGACTCAACCTCTAACAGAAATGAGTACCAGGAATGAATTAAATAAGTTCTTGGGGCCAAAGGGCAGCTGGCGCTTAAGGCTGACAACCTTGCCGCCATCTATGAGCCGAATGTTTAGAAAATGTGGGAACCTCAACATCTCACAAACCTATGGGCCTCCACAGCTTGTCACAAGGATAGCTTTACTTACTTTTTTTTTACAGTTTCCTGGACACCATAAATCTTACCAGAAAGCCTTTCTATATATAACAAGAAGGAATTAACAAGCATTTAAAGAAACATCCGCACTAATCTGCTCTTCTGCTTTCTCTTTGCTATTACATGGCAAAGCACAAAAGGAATTTAAGTGGAAGGAAAATGAAACCATTTTTTTTTTCAGAATTGGAGGAGGGGGGATTCCAACTTTCTTCTTTTGGTGTGTTTCTTCTGTGACCACTATATGAACATCTGTAAATGCCCAATGAACAGTCTGACATAAGTTCAGTTAAGGAGATCAGATTACATTGCAAACCTGATTTAGTAATAAATACTAACCACTCCGTTCAATTTGACATGCAAGTTTTTACTATGTTGAAACTTATCTCCCTTACGTAGTAAAAACTTACTGTCACATTGGACAGAGTGGTTTGTATTTATAATTGTTAGTGTGACGGACCAGAATGAAACAAATCAAACTGATTTAGTAAATTTAACAGTATATCCCATTTACAAAAAAAGAAAGTAGACAATTGCAGATCAAATTGATCAAAATAATACTTATAAGTTCTACTGTAACAAAGCCTAAAACAACATATAACTCCTTATTTGTAGGCCCCATTCTCATCTACTGATTACATTCTGTTCATTTGGTGGTGCATTGTATGAAGCTTTAACTCCATGTAATTTATAGCTAAATGAACAGCACTTCTGAGAAATGATTTCATTCTATGAAGTATGAAGTTTTGCCAGAGGGTAATTTTATAAACTGATATATATATATACATATATTGTTATTAGACAATCTGTAATTTCTTCCTCCCATTAATAAATGTATTTCAATGTTGCTCTCAGCTGCAATGCAATAGCTACATAAACATTAGCCCCACATGGCCATCACATGTAGTTATTTTTTCATATAATCACAGCATCATTTTGTTCGTTACTAGTTACAAAAATGCCAGAACCTGTCTGAATTGACATGAATGTGGGACTGTGACACAAAAAATACAAAGCTGGACTTTGTTCAGATAAGAATGACAGTGGACCATAGTAAGCTATGCATGGAGGCAAGCAACAAGCAGAGTAACTCTGCTACTTGCTTACAAAGCTTATGCTTCAACCCTGAAGATGGAGGCAGTATGTTCCTCCAAAATATTGGCCAACATCTAGCTGACTGCATGGTGTCACATCCTTGAAGACGGTAGTATCCAGCTCTTCATGGTCTTCAAGAATAAGGTAGTGAGTGAAGATGTTTTGGACTTATGAGAGAGGAAGCATTATGAAGCCAGAGAAAACAGTATAATTTGTAATCTTCAAAATACAGGTTAATATTAGGGTAATCAAGTCAAGGACGCTAAGATGAGCTGGGAAGATAACATATAGAACAGATTATAAATTCATGTAAAATTTTAGTTAGAAAACCCAAAGAGAAAAGATCTCTTGGGAGACATACACAGTAGACAGTACACTGTCTTGGAAAATACATATTGAACAAATTATACCTAAATTAAATGCAGCTTGCTATGCGATGAGATCAATTAAGCCTTTTATGTCACAGGAAACATTGAAGATGGTTTACCATGCCTACTTTCATTCTATTATGAACTATGGATTAATATTTTGGGGGAACTCTTCACATAGTGTAATAATTTTTAAAATACAAAAGAATATAATTAGAATCATTACAGGATGTAGAAGTAGAGATTCATGTAGAGAATTATTT